AGACTTACAGAACGTTTATTTTCGGGACTAAAATTCAGCTGCACAGGGGAAGTATAATATCTTCATCTAAATATGTATAGCAGTACAATGTAAAAAAAGACAAAGTTTTCATTTTGTTTTTTTGGTAAGATACTTAATATATGAAGCAATTGAGCAGTTGTGCTTCTCGCTCTTTCGGAATTATCCGATTAATAATGAAGATGGAACAGGTGTTCAGTGTTTGACAACGCTTTTACCAGCAACACCTAATATAATTCGTACCCACCAAGAGAAATCAAAAGACAGAGTCGAGGAGATCGGAAGAGAGTATTTGGCGATTACCAATATATCGGAATTCTCTGATCTAATCTGGCTAGTGATTGCAGTAGATGTTGAGCACGGCGTCCCACTCGTGATCTGGTATGGATGCCTGACCGAGCGCCTTCAGCTAGATGAGTCCACTAAAACATATGGTCAGCATCGAATGTTTAAAACTTACAGAAATATTTATTTTGGGGATTCATTTACCGCTACAATAATCTAACCTGTGTCTTGTGACCTTTTTATAGTGTTTCGGTCTTGGTATCAATAGAGGTAGCTAGAACTCGGTGAACACAATCGAACTCCATAGGTTGAAATCATGAGTCAATTGAAGCTAGACCACCATGGAAAACCTGGAAGCACTGGACGGCCGTTTCGTCCTAGAATGGGACTCCTCAGCAGTGTGCATCCAAGATCCCGCACCCAGCGGGATTCGAACCCAGGACCTACTGGCTTTGCGCGCGAGCACTTAACCATTAGACCAACGGTGCTAATGTCTAGCTTCAACCAATCCACGAAGTTGCGCTACCGTACACCATTGTCTTCAGTGAGTTGTTATCTCACAACAGACTTGGTTGAACTCCACTGGATGCGCACTTCTGAGGAGTTCCATACTGGGGTGAAACGGCTGTCCAGTGCTTCCAGGTTTTCCATGATGGTCTAGCTTCAATTGACTCATGATTTCAACAAGTGAAATTTCTAAAACTCTCCACAAACCCCTTCTGATAATAATCATCTGCTCACTAGTGACTGACTTCAAGAGATACTCCTGGAGTTCTAGTGAGAAGCCGTTGCCAGGTCTGTTGTGAGATAACAAATCACTGAAGACAATGGTGTACAGTGGCACTTCATGGATTGGTTGAAGTTAGACGTTAACACCGTTGGATGCCGGCTCAATGGTCTAGTGGTTAAGTGCTCGCGCGCGAAGCCAGTAGGTCCTGGGTTCGAGTCTCGCAGGATCGTGGATGCGCACTGTTGAGGAGTCCCATACTAGGACGAAACGGCCGTTCAGTGCTTCCAGGTTCCCCATGGTGGTCTAGCTTCAATCGACTCATGATTTCAACCTGTGAAATTTCTAAAAATCTCCACAAAACCCATTCTGATAACAATCGAATTCATTGTATTGCAATTCTGTTTCAAGGCTGCAGCAGACATTTCAACGTTTAGTGATTGATCCCAATGAACAGTGAACTATTTTGACCTTGCCAAGCAAGTATCATCTGATTTATTGCTTTTCGCTGATGATGAAACTCTGGAGAGAACTCTGGACCAAGATAATAAGCCGACACTTCAAGAGAACTGACTGGACATCAAAGGTGGGCAGACAACAACGAAGTTGCTTCCAACACTTCGAAGTGCAATACAGTCCACGCGAGACACGTTGCAGACTAACATTACAAGTTAGGCTATTCCCCTTTAGAAGCATTCCAAGCAGAATGAAAACTAGGAGTGTTGGTAACATATGAACTGAGGTCTTACTCTGACTGCGACAAAAAGGCTTTGCGAGCGACCTTTGCATTTACGCCCAGTTTAACGGTGGAACTTTCCACCGAATCTTCGACAGTTTTATGCCACTTCATCCAGAGTACACAAACATAGTGTTTCCGTTCGCACTCTGAAGGATATTGATACATTGGGACGTATCTATGTGCGAGCCACGAAATCAATTTGGGACTCGAATTCAAGTCTCATGAAGAGCGTCTCAAGTCACTGAAGCTTTACCCATCAGAGTCAAGATATGTGAAATTGAGTTACCAGGTTACGTTACTTCTGCTAGTAAATCCATATTTCTTCAACCGATTCTCTACAAACGAATTTTCAGTATCCAGAAGAAAGTGTGGAGTTTATCTCCAGTATATTTGCTTGCTATTCGTTCTGATTTCTGCATTTTAAACCGTAGCGGAATTTAACTTACATATAATGGAGATGTAGTTAATACCTTCTGTTAGTGGGAAGTGCCTGTGTCTATTAACATCGTCTGTGTCAGCGAAGGATAGAGTCAAGAGAATTTGAATAGTGTTGTTCCTAGTATTGGATAGAATATACCTAATGATGGACCATAAAAAAGCAGAATACGGTTGTAAACAGTCTGTGATCAAAATAGTTCACTGGCGACTCTAAGCCTAAAACAAGCCCAGTTAACGGATAGTGGAGATTAAAGTCATTTTAATAGACGACCCAACTACAGACGTTCAGAAAATAACTGATGTGTTTCGTAACGTTTATTGTTCTGAACTCCTAGTATTTCCCGGAGTAGCTTGAGTATTAGGGACTTATGTCATGAAAAAATCTAGATGATGCTTTCTTATCAGAAGTCACTTTTAGTATATGGTAAATGACTGGCTTATTTGAGGGATTAGAATCGGCAAACTGAGATTAATTTACGCAATTATTTATTTAGATTTCTAACCAGGTGACCAATTTATACTTGGTCTTCGTCTTTGCTTTTTTCACTAACTCTCTAAAAGAGCTTTTGGTTAGTCACACGCTTTACGATAGTTAAGTTGATTTTACAATGTCTACCCTTTTATCAACATTAGATCCTGGTTAGGAATTTCCTGTGTTGCAGTGTGCTCATAAAGACATATCTGGAGAACAAGCTTAACCATGGGCCTAGTATCCGAAAAATACTTTCGCATGTTAGATAAATGTTTCCCTTAGGTCTTTAGCAAGTCAATCATTTCAGCATCACCCCAGTTTGAAAATCTGTCATCATGGTTTCGACAAGTCCGGAACCTAAATTGGCTATTCTGTGTCTCTTGTAGCACATTCTTTGTCGATGAAGAGTTTTTGAGCTATGTTCATCAGCTATATGACCTCTAAGCTAGGGAGAAATTTTGTTGGTACATTTGTTTACCAAGTTTTAAGTAAGGAAAATGTGTTTCCTAAGTGCTGTAGGGCCAGCGAAATGTCACTGAGCCCTAGCCAAATTATCCGACAGTTGGGTCACTGAATATCGAACAAATCATCGATCCTCATCAGGGACAACCAGCACGCATCACTTAATCGTACGCCATGGTCTGGCCCATGCGGCGGTGGTCTTACTTTCGCTCGTATCTACTTAAACTAATATCGTTCTGTAATAACGTCCTTTGTGTTGTACAGTCTTCAAAGCATCTATAATATCTTGATACGTCGATGGGACAATCCACGTAAGGTGCTGATCGTGAGGTGTGACTTCGACATTAGCTAGTTCGTCACACCATTCCCGTCTAACTCTAGCAGGCCCTCAATCATTCGACATAGATCACCTACGTTGGTGGTCACTAATGCTATAGCTGACTGCTATCTAAACCAAAGAAAACTTTAAAATGTATTAAATGCTTGATTTCACCCAAAACCAAAATATGCGTAAATCGAGAAATATTCAATACTGTAAACTGCTGAATGTATATGTAGTGTTTATTTGAAATTGTTCATAACAGATGTTTCGTGGTTGTACCGATTAAATGACTTGTTGGTGATGTAAAAAGATTCTCACCACCTTTCTGGTTACGACCTATCATTATTCTACTTATCTCCAGACGTTGCTAAACATTCCAGACAAATTATATGTTGCATAAGTGGTTGAATGGTAATTTTATTGCACTAGCCGGCATGAATATGAATATGGCTATAAAAAGTAATTTGAAATTTCGCGGACAACAAACAAGTATCTTTTATCAAAAACAATATATACGCTGGCCTTACAACCTTTTCATCGTCTAATGACTAGAAAAACAAGATACAAAGACATGACAATTATATGCGCGAGAAAAATACGGAAATTTTTAAAATTCCTCCATCTGTGAGGAAAAAGTGTAGCAATTGCATTATCTCAAATAATTAGTGTTTGAAAATAAATGTATGTTATTTTTAACTGTACATTTTATTATTTATTACTTGCTTATGTACATATTTTCTGCAGTGTCAGTTTACATTAAAATTTACATTTTGAAGTACTTTATCTCCAATATACTTTACCGTACTAAACATTTAATATTGAATAAAGCAATTATTGTAATTCATGTTCACATTTGAGCTTTCAAATTTCGTTATGATAAATTAGCTTTTTTAGTAGATAACCTTTCAATAATTTTGTGAACACTTATAATAGATGGCCGAACAACATGCAAAATGAATGATTGACTAAAAAAATAGTTAGAGGTTAAGGGCATTATCAAGCCACAGAACAATACTTCAGTTTAGTGATTACGACGAATTTATAAAGAAAATGCCGAATCTTTCATTTTTGTAGCAAATAAAAACGAGTGTTAAAATGATGACGGCAGCAATAATGTGATATATTTAGTGTCATATGGGTGGTAAAATTACAGGTGATAATATACATTATTTGATCGGTTTATTGGATTCCATCTAATAGGTATACTGCCGGAGGATTATGAAAAAGTGTGTGGATTAAAAAATAACAGTTGTTTAGTTTAAATTACCTAGAAAGAAGTATGGTGTCATATACATCATGAAAATGTAAGGTAACTGTATATTATTTGTAATCGAATACAGAATACCTTCTCAACCCATATCTCTATGATTTAATTGATTTCTACAATTTTGTGAAGGTGTAGTATCGTCAAAAAGTAATTCTAAACATGAATTATGTGCCTTGTGTTCACTAAATTTTTCGTCGAAGTATCCTCCTGTTACATTTGAAAATTCATAGTCAATAATCTCTTGGAAACTTCTCACTAGAACGGCAATTAATGTGGTTCCCAACACTAAATAAACTAGAAATAAAAGAGTAAGTAAAAATGTTATTTGTAATTAAAATAAAGGTTATTATTTGATATAGTAGGCTATGTTTTTTTCATTGAACTTTGTTATATCAGTTGCTGATTTCAAGTACAGGATTTATTTTATGTTACTTTTCGACTTGAACTAACAGCAACTTAAGAAACAAATATAACCAAAGAAATGAAGTTTTTTATAAAATATTGTAGCTTGTAAATAACAATTGTCACGGATCAACATAAGCAATCGAGAGATCTTTTGTCTAATTGTGGGGTTCAAACAAAGTACGCTCTCATGATCCTACCAAAAACCGAACTCAAAACCTCCCTGTCTCGCGGATATCGCTTAACTACTGTATTAAAATTCAGTAATGTATGTTTCCAACCTAAGTAAATTGGAAAAATGTTGCACCGACCGAAATATTCATTACCAGAGGAATTGGATGATAATTGCACTCCATACCATTTAGTTAATACTATCTAAACATAATACATTGGTTTATGATGAATTGGGTGTTTATTCCGACTATCAAATTATGAGTGAAATGAAAAGTTTTTTAAATAACGTATTACTCTAGAATAACTTTTATCAAGAATTAGTATCCACTGAAAGATATTAAAAATATAGAAGCACCGAATTTCTGCTTGTTCTGTTTTGGAATGACCCGAAAGTAATGATCTATCACTCTAAATAGGATGGAACTCAGTGTCTCTAGGTTGCAATCTACTCAATGAATAAGTTAAGATTACTTGATTTACGGATTTTTAAACGATTCAATAATTAATGAAGTCTTCACCATATTGTATATTAATATCTATAATCGAGTTTCAATATGCAAAACTTTCGTGATTTTTTGGTTTGGATATTTGCACATAGAAATATACAATAGGTAGATGTTGAATATAGTTAGTAATATATTAATATAAAACCTCTAAATGTAAAAATCGAAACTTTCCGATAGAAAGATATTTTACCTAAAGTCCAGTTGAACATACATATTTTTAGAATGTGTTAATTGCGCACTTTATCTACAAAGCTATGAAAGCGAAAATCAATAATTGATTGATTAAATTCAGCAAATATTTATGGATATTGGTAGGCCCCACAGGTTCATCAAACGTAATTTGAAATCAAAACTTCAATTTGGGAAAGCTCTTACGATACTGAAATAGATTTTGTTCATGAATATTGAATTCGAACAGCGCCCAGCAGCAAAAATTCTGAAAACCAGCCATCAAGATGCAATGAAATAATTTTTATTTTGCTGAGCTCTGAATTTGTCACTCGAATAGATGTTTGGTCGGGGGGTGTAGTATTAAGGATAAACTGCGACTTTGAGTGAACATAGTGTTTATTTGTCATTTTATTTGTTCTTAGGTAGTAGGCTATATTGATTGCAAAAGCGTGAACTTTATGACCGCGTGTCCTAGTACTATCTGGAGTGGTTATCAACCAGTTAATGATTGAATTATTGAACACATAGTTAACTTTGGTCACGTAACTCTACTGGAATTGTCTTATAAGAGCGTTTTCAAAATAAAAAAAACTGGATTAGCAGGAGTTCGGATCATAACTTTGTTCACCGACTTGAATTTGCTTTACTATACAAGACAGAAATGGGCAATTCTTAACTTTATGATGTTCCTGACAATCCTAATTTTAAAGATTGTGGTTTCCCCTTGATGTTTGATCCTGTATCCTTTTTAGATTCTTAGAATGGACAGCTGTTTTCCCTTCGTAAGTTGTTTTTATGTTACTTCTCTACGGTTCGATGGACAATGCTGGTGGGAGGCCTATATATCTCCACAAAGGGGTAACAGGTGTAAGTATGTTTCTTCACCTTAAAAACTATAAGCGAACGTTTGCTCAGTATTCAAAAACATTCGATGATTTTTATTAGCTTCGGTAAATAATGCAACACCTCTCTTTGCTATTAGAAGCTGTGTGTAAAGTGACCCATAAATACGATTGTACATCTTTGACAGCTGACATTGTTGAGAATAAAATTTCCATAGCTGAATAGCTTATTTTTTTCGTGATAATGAAGTAGGTTTCTTCCGCTGTCTTAATTTTAGGTTATAAGTGAAATTTAAATTTCTTTAAACTTGGAAGTACTTTTGAGGTTGTCGTTTTTATGGCAACAGTGAGCCATTAGAGGGGTAGATTTACGACCTGCTTACGTTTTCACTGAAGCAAAACTATTCAATTGATATGTTTGGTATTGAGATTAAGAATATAATGCAATCAAAAGACAACTTTAAAATAATAGTTGCATTTCAATGGAGACTCCCCAATTAACTTTTGAGAAATATATTAACATCACATATTGTGTATAAATATGGTGGTACAACGAATTAATATGGTGCTAAAGAGAATAAAAAAGTACGACATTTAGTTGAGAATTCAGCTCTATAGCAGTCTAATTTGAAAATGTTCTTGGAAAGTACATTAATAAATGTAAACAATATACTAACTTATTATTTTTACTACTAAGACTATGAAATGTGACACGTTATTTTATGTCGCCATATTAGAAATATGAATTTCCTGAGACTTGAATATACACATTTCTGGTCAATAGAGAAATTTAGTAGCACTTTACACAAGGTCTTTATATTATGTGATCTGTTTCCAAAAAATATATCAGTCAAGTATCCAAAGAATGATTAAATATATGGGACTCACTTGCAGTCATTACTCTGTAAATATTCTTCACATATAATATCGTTACTAATGATGATGCACTGCTGTCTTTACTTTCACTTGCAACCATATCACCAAAACCAACTGCACTAAGTGATATGATACAAAAGTAAATTGCATCAAAATATGTCCAATTCTGTTCTAAATATGTAAATATAATCCCAGGTATAAGTACTGAGCATGTAATTACTACACAAAATACAATGAAGAAATGTAATAATCGTAAACGAAATATACCATGATGTACATTCACATATCGAAATTGTGAAAGTTTAACTTGTGTAGTTAAAGCCAAATCACTTCTAGATAACTGAGGTAGTAAACAAAACAAAACAAAGTAACTGAAAAAATGAATCAATGCCGAAAATAGTAATAACTAATTTTTTGTATTTGGACTTAACAGTTAAATAATCCCAGTGTAATAAAGTCTACAAGTGAACAAAAAATGCATGTTTATTATGTATTCTTTGAATATTAAAAACACGAAGTTCAGCGAAGGGATATCTTTCCAACGAATTTATTATCAAGCTATACGATCGTATATATATGAAAAATGCTTTTCTTAATGTACTAGTTCCGTGAGGAAATGCAAACAAGGAATAACGAAGATGATGTAATAGAAAGATTATAATACTAGATCATGTAATACGAATATTAACATTAGACCTAATAAGTTAGTAACGAATTATAACGTCAATGTACTAATATGATAAAAATGTTTTTGTTACAATAATTGTAGGTAATTAAAGGTGATAGAGGTGTGAAATAAACGAAGTGATATCATGAGCAATTATGAATAAAATAATGAGAATATAAGACACAATAAGTAAAGGGAGAAATGCTATAATAATAATAAAGGCCAATTAAGGTCCACATTACTAGACTGTGGTCATGGCTACATTAATATACAATGTAGTAAGAATAACTTATTAACTATGAATCATTTGTATCAGCTAATGCTCCTGAAAAGAAATAAGGACTTGCTCCTTAGTAAACCTGACAAAGGAGTCGGTGTACTACTACTTGATCGTCAAGAATATTTGGATAAAGTGAGGTTACTCCTAGACGATAATACTAAATTTTCAAAGCCTAAATGAGAAGTAGACAAAGCACCGCAAATTGAAAGACAGCTAACGAATGTTGTTAAAAACCTTAAGAATAAGGGGATAATAACCCCAGACTTATATGATCACATACATTGGGTGGGTTTGATCATCCTGCGCTTATATGGATTACCGAAAGTACATAAACCTGTTTACCGTTACGAACTATTTTAGATATGTCGAGTTCACCATACCACCGAATCGCCTAACGGTTGGCTGAAGAAGTGAAGCCATTTAGAAGGCAATTATCTAAATATTCTATTCATGATAATTTTCAATTTACTAATCTTGCTAAAGACGTTAATACTTCCGGAAAGCACATGTTCTAGCTTGACGTTAAGATTTTTTTTCACTAGTGTACCTTTAACCGAAACGATATGCCATATAAGTGGCAAAATTGATCCTAACAACATAAATCTATGTCTGCCGACTGGTCACTTGAAAGACCTATTGTTACGTTATATCTTTAATATACAGTTTCAACAGTGAAATATATAGACAAAGAGATGGGATCGCAACGAGGTCTCCATTGGGTCCAATTTTAGCAGAATACTCTATGGCAAAACTGGAGAACGACCAATTTAGTTCAATGATTAATCGATTTCACCTATACGTAAAATATATGGACGACACATTTGTCATTTGTGACGATAATAATGAATTAGAAGATATGTCACACTCCTTCAACACATGCCAGCCTTCCATAGACTTCGCGTTAGAAAATGAGCTAGGTTATTCAATCTCTTTTCTCGATGTGCGTCTGGCGGGAAGCAGTGATGGTTCTCTAAGAAGATCCGTTTATAGAAAACAAACATGGAACGGCCAGCAGACCAACTTCTATAGCCGGGTTCTTTAAAGCAGAAAGAGAAATCGTATTCACTCTTCATATTACCAAACACATTGGATATGTAGTACGGAATGCATTGACGAAGAACTCGCATTTCTCAGAAAAACGCTGACAAAAAATGGCTATTCAGACCTCTTCATAGATAAGAATATGGAAAGAAGTAGTTGTGATGAGGAATCCGGTTGTTCTGTTCCAAAGAAAAACCTTCAAGTAGGTTTGAAACATAAAGGTGATCGAACATCTAATGCAATCCAAAATCGTTTAACGACAGAGATAAAAGGAACATTCTATGAGGCAAAACTGCGAATAACGTTCACAAGTACGAACTTATTTTCTGTATCCATAAAAGACAGGCTTCTCTGTCTGGTCGCCTCCATATGCATCTACCAGTTCATCCGCTCTAGTCGAGCAAGGTACATTGGCCGTAGCCAGCGTTCGCTTTCAACTCGGATACGGAAACATGTTCCAGTGTGATTCTACAAGGTTGAGAGGAAAGCATGTAGGGGTTCCATACCTGAACATCTAATCGACTGTATTCATTCTGCTAATCCACAGTTTGATTTTAAGGTTGTATGTATGATTCGTCTAAATCTATCTAGATTTCTTCGTATCCAACTACTAAAAATAGTCGATCTTACCATTCATGAGCTCAAGCCAGAACTATGCGTAAAAAAGAAGTACATCTTATCGCTACCATGGCCTTAATTGTTATTATAGCATTTCTCCCTTTACTTATTGTGTCTTATATTCTCATTATTTTATTCATAATTGCTCATGATATCACTTCGTTTATTTCACACCTCTATCACCTTTAATTACCTACAATTATTGTAACAAAAACATTTTTATCATATTAGTACATTGACGTTATAATTCGTTACTAACTTATTAGGTCTAATGTTAATATTCGTATTACATGATCTAGTATTATAATCTTTCTATTACATCATCTTCGTTATTCCTTGTTTGCATTTCCTCACGGAACTAGTACATTAAGAAAAGCATTTTTCATATATATACGATCGTATAGCTTGATAATAAATTCGTTGGAAAGATATCCCTTCGCTGAACTTCGTGTTTTTAGTTTTTAAATGGGAACCGTCTGTCAATTCTTTGAATGACATATAGATTTTGAATGAAGTAAAAACTAATTACTGTAATTAAATGTTATCTTTTACTGCGATATCAAGTGTCGCAAATATTACAACTAGGAGATTCTTTGATCTGGTGTGTGGTAACAAGTAGCCGTAGCATTTTATTTTTGTCGCATAATTTAGTTGAAAAATAAATTAATATTGAGAGATAAAATCAGAGAAGCTTTTTCTTAAACAAATGTAACATTCCTATTTTTAATAATAAATTAACAGAATAAATTAATATGTACGTTATATTTCCAATATCAAGAATAAAACTTAACTACCTAATGCTATGGACTCTAAGGAATTCAAAAACTTTTCCCATCATTTACTTATCTACTCTATTCCATACTCGTACAATTTTTCTAAATGTACGGAAAGACAGTGTATTGGTAGACACAGATTGTTTAAGTATCAGTATTCTGTACATGACTTCAGTTTACCGTTAGTCGAAACTTGCTGACGCTTTTATCGCTTTCAGTTAGTGTTTTTTCCTAATTACACAGTATGATGTACAAGTGTTCTATGTTTTGTTTTTAAAATTTTCCTAAAACTATACATGGTATGTGAAATGATGTTACCGAAGAAATAACTGAGTAGAAATTTGGAAAAGCGATATTGAGCTCAAAATCTTGACATATATAGATACATTTACTCACCAAGTAATGTAGAAATGCTATGCAAGAAATATGAGCACGATCAGCTAGTGAAGTTTCTGTAGAAAAGCAATCATTAAGATTACATGTATTTTGTGTTACTTCTCTAAATATTTCACTCAATGAATGTCGAGCTGGTTTATCAACGTTTTTTACATAAGTTTCTTTTTCAGTGTGTCCACTGAATTGACTAGGAGATGATTGAGTTGTGTCCAGCTGATTTATTCTGTTGTCAGCTGCATCTGGTTGGTTATTTGCTGCAAAACTTAAAGAAACTTTATGTGTTAATTTTTTCGGTACATTAGTGTGACCAAGTACCGTTTTCGGCCTGTTAATTTTTACCGAAGCTAAACTGGGATTCATTGATATGTCATTATTTATATGAAGTTCATGATGTTTCATAATAGATAATATTGGTTTATTTGATTGCTCATGCTTTGAGATTTCATGATCGTTTTCATCATTATTAAAATCTTTTGGATAATTTTCTGTTTTTATTGTCAGAGAACTTTGAGATTGAGTCTTGTTTGTTGATAAAGATGTTGATAAGGAAGTCACTGAGGCAGTTTTATTTGATAATCCGTCATTTTCGACGACATTCTTTGGCTCAGTGATATTGCATACTGTTGGTGGATGATTTTTTTTCACGATGTTATTCGATAAACGACTGTAAGAAAGTGGCAAGAATATCAAGCGAAGAGAAGTGAGAAAACAAGGTGCTATGATAAAACGCGAATACTTGAGTGGGCCAATTGATAAGAAGTCAAATATTATTCTGGGAAGCATGAAAAATGTAAATTAGATAACCACGATAGTATCAGATGAACCAAAGACTCTTTTCAAAACAATATATGACTAAGACAATGAACAATTGCTGCTTTTCTTTACCTTAGGAACCCACAGTTATTCACTCTATATACTACCCAAAAAATTGTACCGTATCTACTCTATTGCCCGTATCCGCAATATCTTTTCCTGCAGTTCTGCTGAGTAAATTGAGGCCATTCACTGCCGTATCCTTAAATATGCCTCTATTAGATTATTTTAGATAAGATCAACTCAGTTTTCCTAACGTACAAATACATAAGTTTTAAAACCAATAATCAATTGTAATATTTCATTCGTTGAAAGAGTGTTTGTGAATAGACTTTATAAGAAAACCAGTGTTTATTAAAGTTCTTCCAATGCGTCTCGATACACTAGCAAGTGAATCCTCAAAACACAGTCTTGGTGTACTCGAGGACAGTGTGATAGTAAGACGTTTTATATAAGGTATTGGATAAGACAGTGGTTATCTCACTAAGTTTACCCATTTAGCATTATTCTTAATGTCACCACTATTATGAAGACCTTACAATTGTTTTTTCATTTCTTAGTTACTATCAATTTTACCACTAGGCATAGCTTATTAAAAATACGTTTACACGTTTCCAGAGGTTGATTATTATTAAGTGGTATTTTCAGTTATATGAATTTCTTTATTTTAAAACGAGTACTTATGGTTTTAGCTATCCAGGTTGATTTTCTGATGAAAGTCAACTAGAAAGTGAAACTCTGAGACAAGGCATTCTATACGCAAATAGAAGGGTAAATAATGCGTTCACCAAGTGTCTGCTATCGGCAGTTGACATTTATGATCGACAATCACAAGATATTTCCAGACGTTAACTAGTTCTGGTTTAAAGTGTTAACTGGTATACTATGTCTATTGATTGACATTGCGTATATAGAGTTGTATAAAGCGTATGAGATACCTTGATTCGGTAATTTAATAAATAAACTAAGTGACGACGTTAAATTTACGGATTTCTTTGAAATGTGAATTGAATAACTGAATATGATAAAAAATATATTCAACAAAAATCATGTTTCGTTTAACTAAAGCTGTATGCAATTAATTAAGTGCAGTGTGAGAGGTTTTCAAGGATGTGGATCATAATTTTAATCGTTAGTAACTACTTGTTGGCTGTGAAACAAATTTAGTCGAGAAAATAATCAGTGTACTAAATATAACAGTTAAAACAATGATATTTACATTTTACGGATTAGTCAGGATTATTGTTGATAAATTAATCACTTACAAATACCAGATAGAACAAAATGAATAGATATAAGATTGAAGAAATAATGTGAGATAAATAAATACTATGATATGATTACAGTGAGAGTAGTTATTCAGAAAAGTCGTCAAATATCAGTGAACAATTTACAGGAAACTATTGTATAATGAACCTACACATAGGTTTGTTTATTTACCTACATAAATACAAATACAATTATTTGTGAATAAATTTCAAAACTACGATCCATAACTATTTTGAGACACATTGAGGGAATGGACTATTGTTTATTCTTCTAATTACCTAGTTCTATCTGATTACTCTGTATATATGATTTATAGATTCATGAGCTAACCTACTAGTTGTTCTATTCACGTACGACTTGTAAATTTAATTACGTTACATTACGGTACCTCTAGAAAGCAAACATAAAAATGATGAATAGCAACTGGAAAGGAATGTCCAGAAGAGTTGGATGAGGATGATGGTGGGTGATCTATGCTCCTCCACGAGAGGTAGTAGGCAGAACACATGATTTAGCAAAAATATAAGGAATTTCGATTCGATATTAATGAAGACATGATTGTCAAAGTAGCCGTTGTTTTGATTAGTTTAAATAAATTTTACTGAGTGTGTATCTTTACTTTTTCATTGTATGGCTAGAATGATGACATTTCCAAAAAAGGAATAATATCTAAGTTTTTATGTTTTATTGGTAAAATATTTATGTAGTTTAGGAAAAAAAGTAGAACTTAATCTTTAGTTACAACGTAAAAATCATAGTTACGTAAAGTAAAATTTCATTACATCTCTTTAGTACGATTTCGTTCCGAAAAGAAAGACAGTTTATGATTGGCTATCAAATTAAACTGAATCAATGGCTCAATTAAGTGGAGAGTATATCTAAATTCTAAGATTATATCAATCAACTAAATCTATTATTATGAAGTTTTGTTTATAGAAAACAAATCCACTAACAATGTCTATATAAAGAAGAGGATAATCTGAGTTAAAGTAGTATTGTTGATAGCTGTGGATATTCCTTACTTATTTAGGTACTGTCCAATATATATGTGCATTTTCTTTCGTCTTAGACTCGTACAAAATGCTACAGATCTCGCCTAAGTTGCGCTTAGACAAGTGGAGAATGTATATCCTTTTCACAATCCAAGCACCAATATGAAATGGAGAAAAACAAAACCACGGTTGACTGATAAAAGCAAGTGTAATTTTTTTAAAGAATAGTACTTAGTAGTGCTTTTTGGTGTCGGTTGCTATGTTAAGCTCACACGGCTTATTTTAGCTTCCGTAAAGATCAGTTTATTCATTCGTCTTGAGTCACATTTTGACCTTGTTAATTATTTGCTTATCAACCTTGACTGTTTTTATATGAGCGTATGTGTGTGCACTTCTTATTCTATTCATCACATGTCTGTAACTTATTTCTGTTCGAATATAAATATCGATTCGCGTTTGGCTAAATTGAGTTGGCTTACCCACCTTCTCCATTGCGTGTCATTTTGTTGTGCTTCGCTATCCAACCAACGATTATACGAAATAAATGTATTCAAAAATCCATTATCGTATTTGAATTACTAAATTCCGTTATTCACCAACGCGATTTAGGTCGATGACTGTATACGAGGATTAGCGATATGTGTATTTCGGTAGCAATCATACATACTATCCAATCTAGAGTCAGATTTAGGGCCGCAACCTATCTTGGATGCGTTGAAACGATCTTGATTTTTATTAACCAGCTCTTAATAATGAATAAAAATGAACTGTTATTTCAAAACATTTTGGAAATCGTTTTCATTATTTACTGGTATAAATTTAAGTAGTTATGGAGTTCTTCATGAAAGTTTCATTTTGTATTTGAATTTTGTTTTAAGCATTCACGTATTTAATTAACATTTCTGAACTCAAGCGTATAGATGAATTTTCATCGATCAAGTCAAAAATCCGTATTATTCAGAGAGCAGTTGGAAACCGTGTGATTTAATATGCGAGAATATATGTATATTTTAAATAAATTAGTTGATATATAAAAATTTAATTGGTCAGTAAAACAGCAAACTAACCTGTTGGATAACGATCTATGAAGCACACTCGATTCACTTCGTCCGTCTGGAGCATTACCTTGTCGTCGGAAAAGAGATTTAAGCTTGAAAAACAATTTTGAAACTCTATGTTTATTTTCCTTATTTAGGTATGGTTTAATATCTTCCATACTTTTCCTATGTCCGCTTAAAGAATTGAAATTTGAATGTTTCCAATTTTTATTATGCTTGTTATGATATGTATCATGATCGCTTGAATAAGAATAAAAATCAACTAGGGCATTTCGTGACTTGCGAATAATGGGCATGCACAAAGAAGCTAGTACGGAAACCAGGATCACATTCATTGGAATTCCAACAGCAACCAGAAATATACAAAAAGCTTTGCCGTATATGGTAACTGGACTGATTGTTCCATAACCTAGAAAAGTTATTCAAAAATCAAGCATATATACTGACAGTAATAACATTAAAATGTTCATTTTCAAAAAAATTGCAAAATAAAATATAACTGAACTTTATTTTATTTGACCTAATTATTTTCACATTCTTTTAAGGTATTTCACAGTTGAAATTAGTTTCTTTAAGTAGATGATATGGAAGAAAATTTAAGTAAGCGGATAAACAAAATAAGTAAAGGTGAAATAAAATTTCATGATCACTATACGTTATATCTCAATAATGTGAAGCTTAAGCGTTCTTCCTATTTTTTATGATGCCAAATATCATATAAAAGAAATAAGAATAAAAAAAAGTCAAAACTAATGGTTTGATGCAAAAAGGTTATGAGAAGTAAAATTGTCAAATGAGTGAACCAAATTGTGATATATGGATATAAACTAATTATTATAAATCGACATCGGATAATGATAATCAAGTACTCAGATATAATATATACTTCACGGTAAAATCATTTACAAATTATTTTTCCCTACCATAATATAAACATCTTTTGATTTAAGTAAGTAAAAAGATCATATTCCAGAAATAATTACAGAATGAAACCCATTTTACAGACATGGTACAAAGTTCTCTAGAAGTTGATTATTCGTCAAAAGTGCGATTGACAGTTTAATGAGTTTTAGAATCTTGAACCGATCAATGTTAGACCACTATTGGAAATGTAGAAGCACCGGACGATCATTTCGCCCTAGCATGGGACTCTTCAGCATTGCGTATCCACGATATAACACTCAAGACTTGGACCTAAAACCTTTGGTCTCGCAGACGAAGCAGCCTCCCAGTGCCTCTAGGTTTTCAATGGTAGTCTGACATCTATTAGTTCATGATCTCGATTAAAACCTCAACAATTTTATTTCCCAAAACCCTTTCGTTTGAAATATATATATATATATATATATATATTTATTGTTGACAAACGGAAAATGATTTAAATTTAATGTGTGTTGGATATATCATCTACTTCATTTTTCATATTAAATTGGAGCTTCCAGTTATCAACATTTTGAAAAATTCAATTAAATAAACGAACAAACATCTTTGATATTGTTTCCTTAACCAATATTGATTAATTAAGATATTTCTGAAAGTCGATAAACTCTTAGAACTATTATCTTAGTTTCTGTTTCTTTTACTTAAAGTATTTAACAAATTGAAAACAAAATGTTAGTATAGTTCAATATCTAGGAACTCAACTCTCTCGCAATTTTATCAGTGGCTCTCAAAAAACCGGATTCTCTAATCATATTATCATTAGATAAAACTTTCTGTCGATGAACTATTTTTGCGAAAAACGGATCATTTGTCTAAAATCCACAACACGACATCGAAATTATAAGTTTCATTTCTTGGGTTTTATTACTCAATGAACTGTATATGTGTGTATGTATATGTATGATGCATTGTAATGATATATTCACTGCAAACATCTGTAGAATGGTATGTTTTATTATAACAGATTTTATCTAATAAGTAACAGAAATATATTTGCAAACACCTTTTAATCCCATTTGCGAACTCTGCTTTAAGGCGAAGGTGGAGTAGGAACCCACGTCCAAGAACGTTTATGCAGATTACGTGGGTACGGAGATTCATAAGTAAGTGGAAGGAAACACAAACAAACTATATTGAGAATACAGCTACCTCTTAATATCTCTGCTTCAGAAGTGATATCGTCAACAGAATAATTAAGTGAGAAATAAATGATTTGGCGAAGATTGCCTATTTGGCTTCTGCTTTTTCGTTTGCTATTAGATGAACGCACCGCCAAAACAGTTAAATACTGACGATTTTCATATTAACATCAACATCAAATACCTTATGCCAGCCAGATCACATGAACTTGAGCAACAAAGAAGAGGTTACATTTTCGTATTCTTGAGCTTCTTTCATATAAATCCATAATCAAAGGTTCGAAGTCCTTTAACGATGCAATAACTTACCTGTTTGTTGAAAGCAGTTAAGTTGTCATATTTATGACTTTTAAAATAGTTATCGAGTAGAGTGATGTGAGTTTTTTGGGTTCTAATCAGTTATTTGCTGTCATGATACTTAAATCTAGCTTCTGGATTCAAAAAGGCGTAATTTATCAGTACCATTGTAATTCAAATTTTTGATTACCCTACTTTAAATCTTTGTCTACTTCCTACCTATCATTTACATCTAATTCAAAAAACTTTATTATAGGATACTTATTCATTTCTTTTAAGGTCAAATAAATCTTATCAAACATTTTAAAAATAACTAGTCTTGTTTAATTTCTTATTGTTAGGTAATTTTTTGTCATAATATTTTTTCAACTTTTTCATAACATTCTTAATAATCCTATCTCATTGATAACGACTGTTTCCGGTTCTGATCATGTATTGTCATATTATGTTTTGGTCAAACCAATGCAATTTTTTTAAACTTGATTACTTTTGTAGGCAGATAATTAGAATTCATAATATATAAAAATAATGCAATGTCATTTTATCTCATATTCTATTTATGTTATATCTGAAACTACGAAGTGAAATGATTGCGCAACACATCAAGTAGTAATTGGCATTTGATTTTGTTTGTTAAAAATATTAAAACATCACACAGTAACATAAAATAAATAAAATACAAAAATATCAAACAATACATTTCAACATTTTTCTACATTTGACCTTAAACAATTATGCTTCATGTGGAATTCATTTATAAATATTAAACTACGATATAAACATTGTCTAATCTATTGAAATTGTTTTTATTATATTCACATGATGTAAAATTATAAAGTTATTCATTCATTCCAGAAAATGTTGATTTCAAATAATCGACTGGAAATCTACAACATTATTTTATGAATTTATTTAATACATTTTTATCGTAACAAGTCTTGTCATTATAAAACTTAATTATTGACAAGTATCACTTGTCATATGCTTATCCTCTTTCATCTTTATTATTTGATCAAATGTTATACTTGAGCATACATATTGATGTCTTAAAATGATGAACTAAGTATCATTTACTGATGTTTAGATTATTAAAATATAGTAAAAAAAGCCTCATAAAAAAATTATAGAAAAGTGCTTTTTCGGCGTAACCCATGATTTTGATCGACTTAAGAAATGACTAAATTGACTGTGAAGTATTTTAGTGAATTCATTTGAAAGAATCAAATAACTAAAATAAGCATAGAAAAAAAACAGCTCTTGATTAATAATAACTTAAGATCGATGAAAATGATAAATCCAGTTTTTGGATTTGGAGCCTGTCAGTTATTTCACCATAGTATATTGCTATGTTAAAGAGTAGTTGACTTATTAGTCACTCATTCTTTTTCAAAGCAAGTAAATTCCCTTGTCTAAGCTTATATATAAATACCTATTAAGATAGCTATATTCTTCCTGGTTTTGTCAAAAATATTAGTACAAATATGACATTTTCGAATGATAGATCTTGCACCATATGAAATGATTAACCTCTTAGTTCTATAGGTATATTGGATTAGCAAATCGATTAGAAGTATGCAGAAAGCTGAGAGACTGATATAATTCTGGCTTTTTTTAGCTTCGAAAAAAGCGCTGTTTAATAGATATTCCATAAGAGTTCTTGTATACTATATGCGTGACGGCTTCAAATTTCTGTAGTTTAATGTGTTGTAAGGTTTGATGAACACGAGAGATTGGTTTGACAATTTGACTTATCAATATTAAGTCTAATGTTATTTAGTGATTAATGTTTACACTAAGCAAACAGATCAGTTTATGTTTCAAAAATCTTTTTGACCTGCAACAAAGCACACTATGACAATTATCAGTTTAATGACAATTTTCACACTCCATTTGACCTCGTATAATACTAGTTGAAATGAGTACTATAGTGATTACACATCGAAAATCCTATAAAGGCTGTTACTAAAGAATAAAACTTATTAAAGCAAATATAAATGTTGTAATATTTTTGGTAGAAATACTTGAAAAATACAATTAGAAAGAGGGATATCGTCAATATGATAAAGATGTTGGTATATGAATACTAAACAGATCGAACAATTTAAACCATTTAAACTCTACCCTGTGAGTTGAAGGAAGAACTGTAACGCCAAATGATGAAGGCCTAGAGTTTTCAGAAGTCACGAGGGCGATGCCCCTTCCTATAGACGGTTATAGGCGGCACAATATTCCCACACAAACGCATACACAAAGCTAGCCACATGGGTCTCACTGGACCGCATTACACAAGACCAGATCGACCGTATTTGCATAACTAAAAAATTCAGAAGGTCGATAGAAGAAGTGAGAACCAGGACAGAAGCTGACATAACTACGTACCATCATCAATTGGTGGTTACCAATGAAACTGAGGCTAAAGGAGCACCGAGCAACTGGGGAAACAAAGGTTCAATACAGCGTTCCTTCAAGATACTGTCAAACTCAAACAATTCAAGATAGCTGTCAACAACAAGTTCCAAGCCCTACAAGATCTACTGAAACGAGAAGAAATCACCATGGAAGATAACTGGAAAGGCATCAAAGAAGCGCTAACCGTTATGTTCCGATAAGCATAATAAATGGTAACTTTTTGGATCCACTTATGGACAAATACAACGCATACATTTTTATCATATAATTGTTAAATAACTAAATTATTCATATTCATGTCCCTTTTATTATGAGCTTTATTTTAACTTATGAACTATTATTCTAAGATTTACCATTCTTGAATTATACCCTGTCTATTAATTACTACCTCCCACACTCACAGCTACATTTGGCTAAATTTTGTACAAAAGTTATTTCCTATTTTATGGTACGATGTGATCTGTTTGGTTTGTATATAAACCCCGTATGTTTGGAATACATGATTCATATTTCAGAGACTGAGATTGATGTTCTGGAATTAACTGGCTGGGCTAGGCAGAAAGCAGAACCGATAAGGACTCTAGAGTGCTCGCATGAGTTTTAGGCGTCACTAGACCGATCAATAATTCACAATTCTCTAATTGGTTGTATCATCACGGTATACATTGATAGGGGCACAAATCCACAAGTAATAACAATTGGCGACGGGAAGAAAACAAAAGCCAAGGACACAGTACCAAGAGTTATAGCACTAACTTCAACGTGTCAGGAAGTGCTGAGCCTCAACAACCATCATCATGAGGAACGGATCTTCATCGAAACCCCGGGCTAGATTCAAGAAAGAGAGAACAAGAAGACAGCGAATAACAACAGCCGAATAAGAACAGAGCAAGTAAGGCACAAGCTGAATTCACTGAAGCAAACAAGCAATTGAGGAGGAGATTTAGAGCCGACAAGCAGAAATACGTAGAAGACCTATCAATGGCTGCGGAAAAAGCTGCAACAGAAGGAAAAATCAAATAGCCATTTGGCACGACGAAGAAACGAACAGGAAAATATAATAAACCAGAGACACTGGTCAAAGGCAAAGAAGGCAAGCCAATCACTGAGATTCAAGAATGCAGAAAAAGATGGGTAGGACACCGTGAGAAAATCTTGAATAGGCCAGCTCCATTGAATCCACCGGACACCGGAGCAGCACACACCTTCCTATAGATATCACTCTACCAACGATCGAAGAAATCAGGAGTGAGTAAGCAGCAGGACTTGACAATATACCAGCTGAAGCACTGAAGTCACACACAGAAGTAATCGCAAACATGCTTCACGTTCCATTCAGGAGGATTTGCGAGGAAGAACTAGTGCCTCTGACAGACTGGAAAGAAGGATATCTCACCAAGATACTCAAGAAGGGAGATCTGAGCTAGTGCGAGAAATACACAGTCATCACACTATTGTCAGTACCAGGAAACTTATTCGACAGATTGTTGCTGAACATTGTGAAAGATTCAGTAGACGCCCAACTTCGAGATCAAGGGGTCGGATTCCATAAGGATTGGTCGTGCACAAACCAAATCGTGACAATACAGGTCATCGTTGAACAATCAATTGGATCGAAATCGTCACTGTTCATCAACTTTCTTGACCGGAGGGAAGCATTCGACAGTGTGGATAAGAGAAGTTTATGGAACCATCTTCGACACTAGGATGTACTTGAGGGAATCCTGAACACCGTCCGCGTTCCATACGACGGGCTACGCTGCAAAGTGGTTTATGGAGGACAGCTGACAGATGCATTCCAAGTAAAGGCCGGAGTCAGACAAGGTTGCCTACTCTCCCTCTTTCTCTTTATTCCATTGATCGACTGGATTATGAAGACCTCCACATATGAGGGGAAGCACGGAATACAACGGAGAGTATGGGTGCAACTAGACGATTCGGACTTCGCAAATGACCTAGCTCTTCTCTTCTATGCACACCAACAAATGCTGGTGAAGACACCTAGTGTAGTAGCAGCCGCTGAAGCAGTAGGCCCCAACATATTGAAGGTAGAAACCAAGATCCTCAAATACAGCACGGGGAACACCAACACGATCAAACTTCGTGGAGGAACTTTGGAAGAGGTGGAAACGTTCACACACCTGGACAGCATCATTGACGAACAAGAAGGATCCGATGCAGACTTGAAGGCAAGGATTGGCTAAGCAAAGACAGCATTCCTACAGTTGCAGAACATATGGAACTAAAAACAACTGCCAAACACTATCAAAGTCAGAGTCCTCAATACGAACGTCAAGACAGTTCTACTGTACGTAGCTGAAACTTGGAGAACCACTACAACCATAATCAAAAATGTACAAGTATTTATAAACAATTGTCTGCGTTAGATACGCAATGTTCGTTGGCCTGATACCATCAGCACCAGCCTACTGTAGGAGAGAACAAACCAGCTTCCAACTGTGAAGAAAATTAGGAACAGACACTAGAAGTGGATAGGACAAGCATTTCGGAAATCATCAAAATGCATCACGAAGCAAGCACTAACCTGGAATCCTGAAGGAAAACGGAAAAGTGGAAGGTCAAAGAGCACATTGCACTGGGAACTGGAAGTAGACATCGAAAGAATAAATAGCAACTGGAAAGGACTGTCCAAGACAGAGTTGGATGGAGAATGCTAGTAAGCGGCCTATGAGTCTCCACAAGAAGTAACAGGCGTAAGTAAGTGATTAATTTCTAAAAATCATTCATTTATTCCCACGTATGATAAAATTGTTAATATTCCCACCTGTTTACATCATTTCTTTCTATTAGACTTTAAGCTGGTAAATAGCTTCTCAGTTTTAATGATTAGGTTTCAATGTTTTTCGGGATCAGTTTATTCATTATTAAGAAGATGGAACATTATAAAAATAATGGGTATAGTCCCGTCTTAAATTAGTTTTTAAACATTTAACAATAATACGACTAATATAAAAGTAATCCAAGTGGGAAAATATGCTTTTGTTTAATTAACATGTACAAATAATTTTCTTATATAACATGATTTTAAAAGCATCATAACTATAGAACAATAAGTTCCAGCTATATGTGGTTTTGGATTCGGGAAACAGAGTAAGTATCTATACTGATAATGCATATAGTAAATCGCTAAACATTGATTTCATTGCTCTAAGTACACATATTAATTATATTAATAAAAATATTGGATATTCAATTCGTCTGTAACCAGTTGTCATATTTCTCTTAAACATTAAGGGAGTGATAGGCGTGTGTTTGTCAAAGATATTTTAGCCCTGTTACTTAAACAATGTTTCAAAATAAAACATTGAAGTATTTTCTTGTTCAATTGTTCATAAATCATTAATGTCTTTCAAGTTAATATAGATTTTTTTATCAACGGTCCATTTACTTCTATTACTTATGATCATGAAAAGTTTTTCTCTTACAGATAATAAATAATTAGACTGGTTAATAGCACTCAAGATAAAAACGATTTAAATAATTGATCTTTTCGAACTGAATATGCGGAAACTTGCAATTGATGAAAATTTCTAATAAAGGGATCTTTCATCATTGATATCACTTTTATCAATAAAAGATTTGAAGTTTCTGGCCATGGTCACTTGATCAGCAGTGAAAATACTATACTTTAAAGTCAACAGATTGTTTTTAAGTTTTAGGAAAAAGTCACGGTTTTATCTGCGTTAAATAACTAGTAATAAAACATTTTGAATAAAATATGAATAGTGAGATGGGCTTGAATATTCCCGTTGTTGAAATAAAGGACTGCATTTTGACCAGTTTTTGTTAGTATACGCAGATCCTAAGTGGAACGCTTAGATATTATCTTTTTGTCACAACTTTTACAAAATAAATGGATAGTGGCTAGTAATGGAATCCAGTAGTTGCGTTTTAGCTCAAAATGTAATAGACTTGAGTCCTGATGTGAATGTGAACACTGAGATTTACGTTCACCATGTATAGGATGAAACGCGCTCCTTGGATCGCAATGCTGGTCATAATCATCTTGTTCTATGAAATTCTTTCAATAAAAGTTCACATTTTAACTAAGTTATCAATTTTTACTGCCTAAATTATGATTATTTTCCAGTGACATGAATGCAAAAATCTGTTACTTAATATATCCATGTTAATCGTGACACTATTTTAATCTTACCTATAGTTGTAATAACTGTTATCACAAAAAATACTGATTCATAAAAGTTCCAACTGCTGTTATTTATTTCTTCTTCAGTTAGAATACGTCTAGCGATTGATTCCAGTTGAGCATTTACTTCAGCATTCATTTCCAAATAAAAATTTTCGTGCCAATTTTTAGGAATGCTCAGTAAGTCATATTTGCTAATATTTTTAATTGGTGTCATTGATATACCCATTTTTGTGGCTGATACAATATAACTAACAAACTTCTGAAGTTCTTCACCTTGAAGAAGAATAAGATAAATACACAATCTTGGTGATTTAATTCATCTTAATAAGTAAAATATTTTAATACACACTAGTATTTATCATATGCTATCTAAAAAATAATCAAAATGAAAACTCATGTCTGTCAGACCTTAAGATTGATCATTTTCACCTATTGATTAAAAAAAAATCAATGCTCACAATGACATACTTTACAATGGGGGTTCAATGAGAGTTAAAATTATTAGTTTTTTCTAAATCTGTATTGAAATGTTTTCCTCTACTTATTTTCGGACGTTATACATTTTTTCCGTAATTTCTGTCCGGATTTTGGAATTACGTGTAAAATTACTCCACAGTTTTATAATAAACCACCGTAGATAAGAGAAATAAGGCTTAAAAATCTAGGCTATCAGCGAAAAAACTGCGTTTACAGGTTTTTTAAGTTATGATTCTTTGATTTGATAATACTATGTATTTGTGAGGAAACGATGTACAAAAAGTGTTGACACGGAGAGACTAAATAACAATATTGGTAGACTACTAATGAATAAATATGAAATATGTTTTGGAAATATTTATAACAGTATTACTAATAAGGAAATCACAATGACTTATCCGGTTTCATATAGAAAGAAAGTCAAAACTAAAGTAAAAATAGGAACGAGATGTGGGCTAAACTCACAATACTGCAAGTTAAAAAGTAACTATTGTAAGGAAATGAGCCTATGTTTCCATAAAACTCCATTTCTTGAATTCGATTACCAGTTAGTTGGACTCCTTCATGTAAATTAATTAGGGCATACGCCTGTTACAATTCGTGTTTTAGACTAAAAAAGTAATCTTAAACTTAAGAATTATGTCAGGAGAATAAGGAATTAACTCATGTTCAAAATGACATTTATTGTTCAGGTCGTAAACGAAATGGTCAACCTTTAACCTTTAAATAATCGTTGAACACAGTCACAGGTATTCTGTATAAACAATCGTTACTTATTTTTTATTTTTATTAATAGTATTTTTCTCTTAAAATTTCCTATTCTATAGATTGGTGTTTTAATGAGACCTCAGTGATCCATTAACTTTTAAAATACCACCAGTAATGAGATCTGACACAAAGCAAAAAATTACTGAATAACAAATATACATATATTACTTGATACACATGGATTAGTCCTCAAAAAATTGATTTGTGAAGCGTGTAAGCGCAATCTTTCTAGTCTTTCTGTAGGTCGTTCTAGTAGGGTTAAACAAAGTGCACCAAGACAACAAAATGATATATAGGCCATAATGAATAAAAGTAACGGCAGTTTCTTATAGAATTCAGAGTGTTTTGAGGTTGTTTCATTATTATTCGAGGACAGTATTGAGTTATTATCTTGTTTTGGCCGTTCATCTTCATGATGTTCTTGGTTACCAGTCATATTCAGAGTAGAAGTTCTTGGCTGGAATTCGCTTTTTTTCAACAACTAAATGCCTAAACTGAAGAAAATAAATTATTTCGATTATATATCTGATGTTTCTTTTTAAAATAAGTCTACAGAGACCTAAGTTATCACAATTTTAATATATTATGATAGAATAATACCGTATAATGAATATAGGATGAACTTAAAAAGAGATATTTACTAATAAGTAACATTCACCAATTATTTTATTTAGACAAAAAGTACCTTTATAAAGCATAAACTATAAGTGACATTAGTTAGGACGATTCGCTAAAACCTTAAAAATATTTGTAATTAGTTGATAGAATTTTATGCCAGTTTTTGAATCAACTAAAAAGTCAAGTTACCATTTATAGTTATTTAATCAATTCACATCTAACGTTTGTGAGATATCAAATTGTTACTCATTTGGATATAGTCAAATGAAACTATAAACCCATTGAGGTGGTGGAGAAGATTTGTAGCTCAGGTGGGTGGTTTTGATGGAGTTTTGTTCTCTGAGCTGGATGGTTTGGTCGTGGAGCTTTCATCGTTTTTCCAAGCGACATCATCAGCAAAAACTTCAGGTAGAAGTGAAATGTTCGAATTTCTCCACATATGGTTGGCTGCTTGTCCTAAAGACCTTTCAAAATAGGTGTTGCACACAAACCAACAAAATCACAGCAATCAGTCTTATGTAAGCCACAGGATGAAATGACAAAAGATGAAAAACCGAACATAATCTCCAAAATAAATTGTGCCAACTGTGAAAAACACTACATTGGATAAAAGGGATGCCTTCTTCATCGTTGCCTGTATGAACATCAACAAGCGGGCAAACGCCATGACATTTCCTCACTTATATCAATGCACGTGGACAACTGCGGACACATATTCGACTGGAAAATGTGAAAATCTTGGATAGAGACAATTTTAAAAACACCAGAGAATTTTTAGGAGCTTGACATTCCCGTCAATCAGTGATCAACAAGCACATTGAAATCGGTCCACTTTATCAAAAAATCAGGAAAATTGTGGACCAACATAGGACCAAAAATCAAACAAATGGGAGATGCAACCAAAACAAAGAAATAAACATTGACAGATTTAAGGTCAGCAAGAACCAATCAACATCGAGGTCTACAGGACAAGCTGCCAACCATATGTGGAAAAATTCGGACGCTTCACTTCTACCTGAAGTTTGTACTGATGATGTCGTTCAGAAGAACGATGAAAGCTCCACGACCAAACCATCCAGCTCAGAGAACAAAACTCCGTCAAAAAATATGAACCTATTTTTTGTTATAGTTAGGACCCTTCAACAAGGTCTAAGTGAAATGGTGAGGAAACTGATTCTCTCCATGAGTTCAAATACACATCGTCCAGGTTCACAGCCAAGACTGACCTCCTGTAGGACTGAAACATCTACAGTCGACTGATCACTGAGTAATGACAATTATCATATTTACCTAGTCTTTTCCGGATTATTGAGTTCGATTGACAAGTGTTAATATCTTGTGACATTAAAATTCATTCTCGATAAAACAAAGTTCATTCAAGTTATAAGATGGCATGATGTGATAAATACTTTTAATTTTAATATTTGTATTTCATATGTATTATTCCTAATGCGACCACATCCGACATAGACAAAGCAACACGTCTGTTTGTTATAAGGTGGCTGAATAACTCTCATTTCAGGATCAAAAATACTTACGTACTTTTCAATAAATATGAATCTATAGAAAAGTTTTCAATAAACTTATTTTTAACGATATGTAAGCACTACCATTAATATTAATCAGAACATTATTTACATAGTTGGCTATCTAAGTAAGCAACTAAGTCAGGGGTTGTGAAAAGTAGAAAATAAATGGCCAGCCTAATATAATCAGTGTCTTTAAGCACATTAGGCTGAAAAGAATACAACATGCGATGTAATACGAGCAAAGATTGCAGATTAAACATAAAATAGACTTGTTGGAAAAGATTTCAGTAACAAACTACTGGTTCTATGATCTCATAATTGTGATGAGTGCATTTACGAATTCAGCTGTTTATATTGAATAACCTATTTGAGTACTAAAATGTCTAATAATCTATTACTTATAAACTTGGTCCAGAAACACCAGGTGAAACTTCTTAAATTTTGTTTACTGATTTATTTAATAAACACTGGAATCCGGACATATATTAATTTAACGGTTACTAAAGTTCGCTGTTCATCAATTATGTTGCGCAACAGTATCCGTACAAAAAATACTAGTGAGTATTTCACTATTGAAATTATCAATAAATTTCGAAAATTCCAATAACTTTATTATAATGGATTTTCAAATATTTACTTCATTATCAGTTACGATTACTTCATACCTCTTGTTCTCTTGATACTTCTTTAAACGAAGAACAACAAGATTTGGAGAGTAAAATGGAGTGGTTCTGTTGTAAATATTTTCATCGGTAACAAACAGTCTGAGGTTGTCATATTTGTGTGGTATAGAACCATGTGATCACTCTATTAGTGCTCCAACACAGTTCGTAAACGAAATCAAAGATGAACCGCCAACACAGCAAAATAATGGTATTTTTCTGTGTTTCAGCTCTATTCACTTCAAAGGAAGCAGAACCTACCGAGTATACTATTTCACAACTGTTAAGCAATGAGCAACAACTCTCATAAAACACAAAAACATTATCAGATACCTATGACAAAATATTTTTGTCAGCTGTCAAATTTATGGACAGATTAAAGTTCGCTGGGGTCACTCCTATTACGGCTAATCAATGACACTATTATTCAACGATTACGTTACATTCCTAACAATTATCAAACCAAAGATTTAAATATGCTGTCCATACAATACATTTTATTACTGTCAATGTGATCATCTCAATGCACTCAAAAAACCAAAGATGATAGTGTAATTGGCAAAGCACTGGAATCGTGAGTAGATAAAATCTAGAAGATGTAAGATGCATCCAGCTGATGGGCCCCAAACAAAACAAAACGCGCGTCTTTGACTCCCTTGCTAGTTACCATCTATCTCTGCCTTTGACTTAAGTCGGTATCGAGGCAATCCGCACAGGATGGACATATGTCAATATAGACTGATCAATTGCAGTCTTGAAAATCAATGGAAGATTCAAACAAACAAAATGAACTAAAAATAAACGTTTCACATACTTCAACAAGAGACAGAAGTCCAAATAGACGAGACATAAAAAACACGGAACACTGTATCTGAGATTTGTGCATACTTATATGAATAATCTAACCACATAAAGTAGGGGGGGTGAAATAGCAAGTAATATCTGCAAGAAAAACAAGGGATTACGCGACCAAATTCTGTCGTTAAAAGAAACATAGCAAAATGGTCACAATATATATTTTAAATTTATTCAAAGTCACAATCAAAATGTTTATGTCTCACATGATTGAAATGGGCAGACAGTATTACTTGACTCAAATATATTGGTAAGTACCACCATAGGATTTGTAAAGAAGACAAAACTTCCAATCCTTTCTGTGTTTGCCTTATCATGGTAACGTGTGACTGAAAATTTTAATGCTCAGTACAAAAGAATAGACCGACAAGAACAACTGCATATGATCGTTAATTTTACTAGTTTAGAAATTTGAACTTATGTCTATAGTTTTCAATAACCTAATGTATTTTTTAAATTTTATATCTTTGCGATCTCATAAAAGTTTCCTTTTTGAACTATTTAAATCGTTCACTCTATTAAAACAAATCAGGTGAAGCCCTAAAGATGTCACAAACAAAGCAGATTTTGTTGTTCAGAATCAAAAAAGTTTTAAAAAAATTGTTTGAAAAGCTATAATTACCACCAAGTTTTTTAAATTGCTCTAGTGGATAAATACAGCAATAATAGTAATAATGATAAGACGGACCATTCATAAAGCCATTTCACTCAACTATATCCCTTACGGTTCTTAGGGCTACTCGGTGAATGCACCAAAAAGATTATCAGCATCTCTCGTTCTTACATTTTTTGATAATGGCCACACAGTTCTAAAACACTTGTTTTATATGACCGATAAGGCACAAAAAAAGCTAAAAACTTTTTAAAAACATTTTTATTTACACTGATGTAATTTCATGAAAGTCGAAGCGATGTGTTCAATAGATGACTAAGTGATCAATGTTGTAAACCTTCATTGAAACACTTGCTACATTACTCAATAACGTCGATAAATAACCGAGCAATCAAGGTTGAAGTATACTAGTAGCCAAAGCCCATTTGTATTACTGACTGCATTAAAATACAGTTACGATAATGTGCTTTCTACAGATAATCAACCACAACACTCAACAATTTTCTTTTTTCGGCATCATCTGCAAAAAAATCTTTCATTTTATCCGCGATCGCCAGGTTCTAGTCACTCAGGAACATTCACCATCACTAAAATTCACATTTTGTACCGCCAAATTTCCTTCCTTTTGTACACATTTTATAGTGTTTTTGTTATCAGTATTTTTCTGCTTACTTTATCGTGATATCCGTGGGCAAGTGCTCGAATTCCGGATTTGCAATGCCTTTAAATCTGACTTCAAACAAGTTTCAATAATTTTATGAAGTCCAGATTTTTTATGTGAGGTCCATGACGCACCCACAGTGTGCAGTTTCAGGTCATGGGTAACACGACTGATAATGACTGGAAACGATGCTCGTGAGTTTATTCTTTATTTTCTTTTGGTACTTGAACTTAAAACTACAGCATATTTTTGCATACCGGTTTTATTTATTTTCGGATTATAACGTCATAGATTGCAATATTTGGTGAACTGACTTACAGTCTGACATGAAACATCAGTTTTCTTAAGACTAAAGGTATGCTTTGATATCTAATTTCACCCAGAAAAAAATCATGTCCAAACATCAAAACACAGTGCACACAATATAGATTCGCTAAAACCACTGCCCGAACTCCGATTCAATTCATAAGATCCTGTCATTATTAAGGATTAAACAATCAGTACGGTGATGACAAACCACTTGTCAACCAGTCGAACTTTAGGTTATCCACAAACACGCTTTCAAAGAGTAATTCTTAGTTTTGAGTGAAATCTAGGTTAACTAGTTAAATCAAAGAGACAAACTGAATAAAAAGCGAGACACTTAAAACAAAACTTTCGAAAGGTATTATGCTATGAAACAAAAACTAATAAACTAGAATTCTTTAATGGTACCAATTTAAGCAAAACATAGTCCGGTATTTTACTTACAATTATCTTAAAAAACTGTATTTGTTAAACGATGAGTGAAACATAACTTGGAAATTCACCTTGTGTGACCGGGTCAGTTTTTATATCAAACTCAAAGGATATCAAGATATACATGGAAGAACTGTAGTAGGACCAACATACTTTTGCTTCTCAAGTAAAAAGAGGACGTGAAGAGCTTGATTATAACCTACACGTTACAATTAACCCGAATTTGTTTCTAAAACTTCATTTAGAGAATTATTATTTAAGCCAACATGGTTTTTCCTAAATAATAAATGGCATACAATTTTTCAGTTAACAAAGCTCCTCGTGATTTTAAAACAGACTGCTTTGGACTATGATTTTATTTTGGGTGTTGGTCTGGCCTAAATCTTTATTTTACTCGTGCTTAGTATGACTGAATATGTCTATTCTTGAAAGGATGAAACCTAAAAGTTTTTTGAAAGGCTACCGATGAATTGCTCACAAACACTTCTGTAGACTGAAGGACTCTTTGCCTAACACAAGGTAAAGCAAGCATGATTGGCAGGCATCCTCTATATATTCTGCATCTAAATCCTCTCAATATATATATATATATATATATATATATATATATATATTGAGGATTTGATTATCTATCAAACGTATTTGTTATACTATGGCCATAAGTACTGTTGAACTGATTATATGAGTGATTTTAGTACTTGAATCGTTAAAAGTGGTTTCATCAATGGATCTATAGATTATCTTTAAACAAAAAATGTAATTCGCTCGAAATTTTAAATGAGTGGCATGCGTATTTCTTCAAGTGCTTTCTACTCAGAAAATAAACACGCAGTAAACAATCTAAACCCTTTCAAGAACGAATTCACGATAATCATGTGAAACTCGAATATTTATAGACTTTAAATAAAAGGATATACAGCTGTGCTACATCACGCATGCGAACGGATAGTTTGTTCACTGTCGAACAATTCAGCGACCGATATGGTCAATCCAGGGAGCTTCAAGAGAAACAAACAAGTTTGCGTACACTTTCACATCGAATACGCAGTCAACCTTTGTTTTAATCTACTTTTGAACGGAGGAAAACATGAATAACCAAACAAATACTTAGAAGTAATATAGGTGACTTCGGTAACCAAATCACAATAGAACGCGTTTCTCCTCATTCATGCTGCAGCTGCCTGAGTAATTCAAGTCCAGCTGAATTTTAAAATAACCAGACGCAAGGTACTATAAATCATTAAGCAACCAAAAACCCAACCTCAACTTTTGACAGAGACGCTATGGTAAACTAAAAGCTTAGTCATATATAAAAAAAATACCAAGATTACCAGCTTAAAAATATTTACTCGTGTAGATTGGAGATTTAATTTTCCTGGCACCAAGGTCCTTCCTCACATGTCAACGCGATAAATGCCTAAGAAATCGTAAACGTGCACGAAAGAAGACTTAACGGAGTAATTTAAAACAAAACTGTTCGAAGCTAAAGAGCATATGGTGAAATTCTTTCCAAATTGCTTGTAAAATTTAATGAATAGCTTTGCTACCTAAAGAAAACAGTATTTAATTCTGGGCAAAATGTTTGCTACTAGTTAAAAGGGTTTTAAGGTTGGAGTGAAATCAGACATACAGTCGAGGGATTACTTATCTAAAATAAGTCTCCCAAGTCAATCCATAGGGATTGCACAAACCAAATCGTGACAATACAGGTCATCGTTGAACAATCAATTGGATGGAATTCGTCACTGTTCGTCAACTTTCTTGACCAGAGGGAAGTATTCGCAAGTGTGGATAAGAGAAGTTTATGGAACCATCTTCGACACTATGATGTACTTGAGGGAATCCTCAACACCATCCGCGTTCCATACGACGGACTACACTGCAAAGTGGTGTATGGAGGACAGCTGACAGATGCATTCCAAGTAAAGGCCGGAGTCAGACAAGGTTGCCTACTCTCCCTCTTTCTCTTTATTCCATTGATCGACTGGATTATGAAGACCTCCACATATGAGGGGAAGCACGGAATACAACGGAGAGTATGGGTGCAACTAGACGATTCGGACTTCGCAAATGACCTAGCTCTTCTCTTCTATGCACACCAACAAATGCTGGTGAAGACACCTAGTGTAGTAGCAGCCGCTGAAGCAGTAGGCCCCAACATATTGAAGGTAGAAACCAAGATCCTCAAATACAGCACGGGGAACACCAACACGATCAAACTTCGTGGAGGAACTTTGGAAGAGGTGGAAACGTTCACACACCTGGACAGCATCATTGACGAACAAGAAGGATCCGATGCAGACTTGAAGGCAAGGATTGGCTAAGCAAAGACAGCATTCCTACAGTTGCAGAACATATGGAACTAAAAACAACTGCCAAACACTATCAAAGTCAGAGTCCTCAATACGAACGTCAAGACAGTTCTACTGTACGTAGCTGAAACTTGGAGAACCACTACAACCATAATCAAAAATGTACAAGTATTTATAAACAATTGTCTGCGTTAGATACGCAATGTTCGTTGGCCTGATACCATCAGCACCAGCCTACTGTAGGAGAGAACAAACCAGCTTCCAACTGTGAAGAAAATTAGGAACAGACACTAGAAGTGGATAGGACAAGCATTTCGGAAATCATCAAAATGCATCACGAAGCAAGCACTAACCTGGAATCCTGAAGGAAAACGGAAAAGTGGAAGGTCAAAGAGCACATTGCACTGGGAACTGAAAGTAGACATCGAAAGAATAAATAGCAACTGGAAAGGACTGTCCAAGACAGAGTTGGATGGAGAATGCTAGTAAGCGGCCTATGAGTCTCCACAAGAAGTAACAGGCGTAAGTAAGTGATTAATTTCTAAAAATCATTCATTTATTCCCACGTATGATAAAATTGTTAATATTCCCACCTGTTTACATCATTTCTTTCTATTAGACTTTAAGCTGGTAAATAGCTTCTCAGTTTTAATGATTAGGTTTCAATGTTTTTCGGGATCAGTTTATTCATTATTAAGAAGATGGAACATTATAAAAATAATGGGTATAGTCCCGTCTTAAATTAGTTTTTAAACATTTAACAATAATACGACTAATATAAAAGTAATCCAAGTGGGAAAATATGCTTTTGTTTAATTAACATGTACAAATAATTTTCTTATATAACATGATTTTAAAAGCATCATAACTATAGAACAATAAGTTCCAGCTATATGTGGTTTTGGATTCGGGAAACAGAGTAAGTATCTATACTGATAATGCATATAGTAAATCGCTAAACATTGATTTCATTGCTCTAAGTACACATATTAATTATATTAATAAAAATATTGGATATTCAATTCGTCTGTAACCAGTTGTCATATTTCTCTTAAACATTAAGGGAGTGATAGGCGTGTGTTTGTCAAAGATATTTTAGCCCTGTTACTTAAACAATGTTTCAAAATAAAACATTGAAGTATTTTCTTGTTCAATTGTTCATAAATCATTAATGTCTTTCAAGTTAATATAGATTTTTTTATCAACGGTCCATTTACTTCTATTACTTATGATCATGAAAAGTTTTTCTCTTACAGATAATAAATAATTAGACTGGTTAATAGCACTCAAGATAAAAACGATTTAAATAATTGATCTTTTCGAACTGAATATGCGGAAACTTGCAATTGATGAAAATTTCTAATAAAGGGATCTTTCATCATTGATATCACTTTTATCAATAAAAGATTTGAAGTTTCTGGCCATGATCACTTGATGAGCAATGAAAACACTATATCTCAAAGTGAAATATATGTAAAGAAATAGAAGTGATGGTAGTTGTCAAGACACGTTGGGAAGGAATTATCGTCGTATGTTCACTATGTAGCCAAGTGAGTGCTTGAGACGTTTTACTGTCCAACATATTTTCAATAATATGTGTCATGCCGTATTTTACAGCTTTTTTCCTTTGCCTTCACTTGCTTATTCTAATATATTTGCGTCTCGTTTTATGGAAAGGTGTACGAGGTAAATTGTTGCTTGATAAAATCAAAATTCCAGTGGTTAAAAAGATTCTCAACGTTTATCTACAGCTAGTAGTCAAACGCACACCGAATATAGTCATCACGTTGTTACGAACTAAGAATGATTTTATAGTCCACGACAGCAGAATAATTCATTTTGCTGTTTAGTTTTGTATGAGGATTGATTTGGATCAATATTCTTTTTTGAGCCCCTTATCCAACTCCAATAGTATCGCGTGATTATCGTTATCGGCTCAAGCATATCGTCAAGCAAACTATATAATTGTAGTGGCATTGGACAATGGCCACACAATCCACAAAGCTGTGAACACGAGACTACACAGAAAATAGATATTCAATATTTAACGCGGAGAAATACCCAACGATGGGGAAGGCGCGAATAATGAATTGAATGGACTGGAGTTGATCGAGTGGCATGGCTCGGCCATGCAGGCGTGGTCCCTGCTGGATGTTATCTTATATCTCCTATTCATATTAAATATATTGTTCTTTCTCTAGCCTAAGCTTGTTTTTCATCATGTATTGGTAGTTGTTACGATACGGTGAGTTGGTGTAGTCGATGATGTGACTTCCACGTAAGATCTTATAGATTAGGCAGTTATATCATGACAAATCGACAATTTTAGGATTAGGTCTATTGTTAGAGCAGTACTAATATCATAGTAGACCATAATTCTACATTGGTGAGCCCGACGTGATTATAGTAGACAACTATTCTACATTGTTAATCCTTATATCCACCTTAACCTTCTCAGTCGGTTTTTATTTGTGTAAACCCATTATTCTAATATTCCTTTGATTAGCGGTCACATATATTATCGTAATGTTATATCGATTAGTTCTCATAACTTACTAGCTCAATCGATAATAAAAGTTGATCACCTATATCAACTAATTAGCTTTGATGGTTCGTTAACAAGCTTTAATAGCATTTACATGCTTCAGCAACATAGACTTGTTTAAACATCAAGCTCTAGCAAATATGACCTGCAAATAGCGTAAGTATACATTGACTAACAATGCAATGAAGGACTAAATAGTTATCGGGATCTAATTATCAGTGTTCCTTCACCTAACACCTCATCCTGTTTTAAACTATGCACTATCCTGTAATATCTTTTCTTCTGACCACTGCCTGCCTAATTTCATATTTTCGAGTTCCATTGCCAAACTACAAGGATGACACTTCTCCAAAAACATACGGTGAGTTTCATCTATAGGTTTTCTGCAATCATAAGGTCATTTTAGATGGCTCGTTCAATAACAACCACACAATTAACTGAATTCATTCGATTGTTCTAATCCGAGCGAGTGGCAGAAACGTCAACACCATCAAGCAACCTGGAATTAATTTCCATACTGCATGTTTTATTCTGGATACTTTTGGATCATTACTACTCCTTACGAATGGCGTTATATATGTCGTACACTGAATAATATAATTTTTAGAAATAATCCAGGCGAGTTCAACTATCTTACTTAATGATTTTCTGTACTGAACATATATATGTTTTCCAGTTGCTTTTGCCATATATTTGTAAGTGTCCCTAGGCTGAATGCAGTAACTTCTTATGGAATGTTTATAACGCGTCATATTCCTGCCTGAAGTTTCATAAGCAGCCTGGTCGTGTTCATTATTTTTTAATTGTCATATACGTCAACAACCTGCTTGTTAACTTGGCCCGTACATACGTTACAGTATATCTTCATGTCTTCTAAATTTAGAAATCATCTGAATCGCCTTAAACGTGTATAAATAAACCCATCATAGTCGTTTTTGCTAATCGTATTTGGGTTTATGGATTGGTTTATCATAGTAGCAGCCTAAAATGCAGACATAGTTTAGATAATTAGATTACAAATTTAGGTACTATCAACGGCACTAGTCAAATAACTAAATCCCCAGGTAGCTGTTGACTAAACAAACGTTTAAAATCAAAACTCCCTAGCCTACTAAAATTACCACTAAACGAATATTTCTGAATTGAAAATTATAATATAATTAGGCGTCTCGGATTCTTTAACGTTACAAATTTCTGATAATTTCGAATCACCTGAAGCAACAATACCTATTTTTCCACTGGCTAATCCTCAATCAACACTATAACTAGTTAAATTTAATAGTTTCAGGATATCGCCATAAAGCATTGTCATGACTTGACAATCACGTAATATGATTGATAATATTAATGAAACTAATAACATTACCGGTCATCAAATCGACTTATAATTATCACTAGTATTGTTTTTCTTTTATCTTCATTCACTACAGATGATTACAGTATGTTTCTCTACCAGTTGCTCATTCTGTAAATATCTCAAAACCTTGTCAGTCTAACTGATGGTTTAGCGTCACAATAATGCATGCAAATAATCAATATAAGCAGTCGAGCAAATCTCCTGC